GGTGAGCTGCCTTTTTTCCACCGCAGTTGGGTGATGGTGCAGTCTACCTTCTTCCCCTCTCCCCTACCCCAGTCTGAAGTTGGGCCTTTAAAAAGGCTTATACTTTACCATAACTTTTAAAAAAATTGACATTTTGAAATAATACATTCATATTTTTTAAAGAAATAATTTTCTAATCTTTATAATAAGTAGTTCAGCATCTGAAAAAGAGCTATATTTAGAAGATGGTAAATGATCTGTGGAAGATTCTGAGGGACCACATTGCCATAATAATGTTTTGGTTTTGTTTTTTTTTAAAAGAAAACAGAAGAAAACAATTCCTTTTAAGTTACACACACTGCACATGACCTGATGTTCAGTGCAGTCTGTCATGAGCCTTTTTTTTGATGTTTGTGAGTGCTGACCTAGACCAGTGGCACTGAATACCACAACTGACCAAGCACAGACATATTAAAAAGTACAGAAAAAAACCTTGATAATTTTGCTGTGTAATTAAAATTCTTCATTTCTTAATACAGCAGTTTTGTTCCAATAAAGACACAAAGCCAGGGATTTCATAAGGCTAACATACATACATGAAAATCGTATAAAAGTGACCAAGCAACCTGCATGGGAATGAGGACAGTAAATATGACTTCAAATTTAACAGAATAAAATAGAAGTAATGCTCGTATGTAGTTTGAAAGAGCTGTGTGAGACTGCTTCCAAAACTGAATGTGGTAGTTCTTTCAAATGCACAGTTTAGCCTGCTATTGACCTTCTTCTCATTGCTTCTGTTTCTTTTTCGGTCTGCAATTTTCTTCAGACCTTTTGTTCCTGGTTTCACATTAGGACTATTTCTATGTTGCATGTTTAACTTGGTGGGAATATATTATTCCACCTGCAAAGTACATATTTGTTTGTTTTTACTTGAGGTCATTGTTTCAAAGTAATTACTAACATTGCTGTTTATATCAGGTTTCTGCCCGATTTTGCCATTAGCTGTTTTTGTGGCTAAATTGACTAGAGAGAATGCAAAATACAGTGTGAAAATAGCAACATATGTGATTAATTTGAGTTATTGTGTCTCAAAGTCTTTATTAAATATGTAGCTCTACCCACTGAAGTCTTGAAAAACTAATATGTATTTTGTTTTATTTCTTAATTGCTTTACTCTTGGGGTATCAGAATTTGGGAAAGCTGGGTGCTAAACTCACTGTAAATATTGCCTTACAGCACCTTTGATTGCAAATGTGTCATAGGAAACTGTCCATCCCAAGTTGAACTGGAATAGAAGAATCTGGTGTTTAGCTTCTTTTGCTAAGTTAAGGTCTAGTAGGTATTGTGATCTCAAGCTAGAGATGAACACACTTGAGGGGGAAAAAAAATATAAATTCTATCATGACATATTTTCAGATCAAAATCCCATATGGTTTTCAATCATGGTATTGTTTTTTGTAATCCTTGTATTAGGGTTACATTTATTTTTATTATGTTAAAAGCTTTGGTTTTGTTCATACAAAATCTGGAAGTAGAATGTCTAGACTTTGAATTATATTAAATCCACTGCAGTTTATCCACGGATTATTTATTTGGGGTTATTTGTACAGAAGTGCCATTAATGCGTTGAGCAGTTTGTTCTTGGACAGCAAGGACATGACAGTCAGCTGTAACTTGAGGTTAAACATCACATTTGTTACATCTGTCTTACTTGAATGTTTTGCTATTTTAATGATGGTAATTGTTCTTAGTGTTGCATTTACAAGGTTACTTCTGGGCATGTTGACCGGACAGACTGTCAAGTTAAGATGTATTTGATTTTGATACTGTACTGAAGTAGAAAGCCTGGGAAATGTTTTACTGCAAAGGGCGGATTGTAGTCTCAGGGTTGCAAACAACAACATAGATGGTCAGGCCTTTTTTTTTTTCCAGATATTTTCCAAATGTGAAGTGTTAGGATTAAAGCTTTGTAGTGTATTTGGAAGTTAAAAGATTTTTCCCCTACATTATCCACAAATTTTTTATATAAATCACAGTAAAGGCTACTGATACAGCAGAGAAAAACATGCATTGCCAGAGGGCAGTTAATTCAGTTCTAAGACAACAGTCAGGCCCTTTCTGGAGAGCAATCCATCCTTTCTTTCTTTTGTTGTTGGGATTTAGAACAACTAGCTAAAATTAGATATCATATTTTCACATGGCTGGTGTAAATGAGGGGAATCTTACTCTTGTTCACAGATCGAATAATCTTAAAATACAGATAAGTTTTTTTAATTTAAAAAAATTATAAATATCCATATATTTATTAAATAGTGGCACAAACTTGTTTTTGGACTGGTTAGCAAGACTAAGAAATTGATTCTAAGAAACATGGCTGTTCCAAGCATAGATTTGTTTGAAGTGGCCCACAGTTAATTTTGTAAAATCATAAAACTCTTTGAGGTAGAAGGTAAGTTATGTGTTTAAAAGCTGTGTATGCACAGGGGAAACAGTTGCTTATGTAAGCACAAGAGCACTTGTGTGTATTTTGGGCATACAGGCTACAAAGACTAGGTGAAAAAAAATAATGTAAGAGCAACAGTTAAATTGTTTGGGGTCATCTTTTTGGTGCTTTTGCTGACAATTTTTAATGGCACAAGTGCATGAGAAGTTGTTCATATAATTTAGAAAAAGGAATGTCACCAAGCATCAATGTCAAGTCAGAGTTTGCAGTCTGTGTTACATAGGAAACTCGATTTTTGGAACAGCAGAGGTCTTTGAAAATTGACAATACATAGCAGCTGCTTCAAGCCAGACTTTTTCAGGTGTAACGTGTTGATATGAAGTAATACTGTTGCCCTCTACTGGCATCTGCTGAAAGCTCTTAAGAAATTACTCATCAAGTACCATGGTCTCCATGGTTAATTTCTGAAGGACACTGTTAATCCATTTCAGACAAGCTCAAAGCTGTCCTTTGAAAGCAAAAGTCTTTCTCTTTAAGGAGACTCGAGAATGGGGGAGAGAAGGAGGAGGGGTACAACTCCTACCTGTCAACACTCATCTGCTTGCAAACTGCTGAGAGCTTTAACTTCTACATGCAAAATCCCTAAAACATAAAAATGTCGGCTGAATTAATTAAATATTTGAGTACTGACAACTGTTGGAGTGTTTGAATTTCGGAGGCATGGATTAAAGACATTGAGGGTCATGAGAGAGAGTATCATATTTCAAACTGCTCAATGAAAACACAGATATAACGCAGCGCTTGTCGTCATCATCAAAAAAAAAAAGTCATTCACACAGTTGTGCTTTCTGAGAGAGATGGCAGAATACAAGAGAAAAATATTTGTATTTCACATGTACTTTGCTACGCAGTTTTTTGCTCTTGTCATTAGCAGTTACCTAAACAGTAATAAAAGACTGAAAAGAACAGAATAGTTTATCTACTAAATAGTTGGTTTTCCCTTATCCCATAACTTAAATAATCGTCTAATCTCAGCTGCCCTCAAATCTCTACACAACCTGGCACTATATGGAGATACAACAACAGTGACTATCGGTTGATCGGCTGTACTTTATTCACAATCAGTCTTTCTGAAGAGCTGTTTCTGTAAGCTGTCTCCATTACATACTTTTTGTGATCCTTTGACATCTTGTTCCCAAGAAAGAAAACATCCAGTATCTTCCCTCTGAGCAATCATGGAGGAGCACTCATGTGGAGAAAAGATGAGAGATGAGGCTTCCTTTTTCCAAGTCAGGACTGTGGAGCTTTAACTGCTTGTTTCTGTTACTGCCACTCATTTGCACTCTGATCTTTGGCATATCAGTGAAATATGTCCGGTGGGGTTTTTTTTAACTCTAAAATGTAGTTAATCTTACTTACCTTTCTTTCCAGGATTGAGTATGAGTGTTAGTAAGTGTTTGACATTTGGATTATGTTAAATCTCTATACACGCAAAGATTCTTTTATGAACAGAAAGCTGTGCATTGAGTTAGTAGAATAGGCTTTGCTTAAATTATATTTTCAAGTAATGGTCTGTCACACCTTCAGCGTTATGATTGTCTAGAAAAAAATTCCATTTAGTTAATAGATAAATAGTCTTAATTTGTTAACTCTGTTTTTGTGCTAGAAACAGCCTGATATTTGCTCTTAAAGTGTTGTGTACAGTAAGAGGAGGCAATGGACTTGGATTCCAGTGGATTTAGTTAAAAATGAAAGTGCCCTTGGGGAACTATAAAGCTTTATCACTTCTTCCTAATCATGGAGCTACCTTAGAAACTCTTCACTCTTTGGTTCTGTGTAGCTCAGTGTCCACATTACACTAATGTGAGTTTGAGAAAATCGATGCTAAATGACACCGGTTTAATGGAGCATTAAACTAAATACCTTTAAGATATGGGATGCTGCAAGGCAGATGCTAAGAGCCTTCTAGTTCCATTTCAGTCATAAATTGCAACACAAAAATTGCAGAAACTTTTGATTAACTAGATTCTAACACAGTTAGTTCAGATACAAAACCCACTCTTTTTTAAATGCTGTATTTCATTGGGATTCTGACACCCAGAGAGCTCTAATAATGACCAGATGTGAAATGGAAGAAATATTTGGGAGCAGTTAATGCCTAACCATAAAAGTCACCATGTGTAAGTCACTGTAGAATGTGATTTGAGCAAGGGCAGTAGGTGTTTTCTTTTTTTCTTTCTTACTCTTTTTTTTTGGTTGGTTTCCGCCCCCCCTATTATTGAGGTAAAGTGCTTGGAGATATTCCCCCCCCCCCCCCCCCCCCCAAAAGGCTCTCTCACTGTATTCATATGCTGCTAGAATAAAATAAAGCAGCAAAGAGGGATGTTTTGATCCAGCCCTGCATCCTGCTCAGGTGGACCTTTATTTGTAATTTTTCTAATGCTTGTGTCTCTTTTGTTTGAACTGAGTGTGAAGTCAAGGCATGAAAAAAGTACCTCAGTTTGACAAATAACCGCGCTGCAAGGCCTTCACGTACTGAGGCCATACTTACAGATTTTAATGTTTTTCTTGTTTTCAGGTGAGCGTCCTTACCAGTGTCCTTACTGTGACAAAGCTTTTAGTAAGAATGATGGATTGAAGATGCATATTCGCACCCACACAAGGGTAAGTGTAGCTTAGTTTTTATTGTTAATTGAGAATTGTCTATGAATCATGTGGGGGAAAAAGTAAATATTTACTATTTGTGTAGAGATTAGGCTATACCAACCAAGGTATTTTATACTTATCAAAATAAGAGGCAAAGATTTATGTTATTAACTGTTAAATTCTTATTATGATTCCCTTTCCGACCTTCTATTTTTTTCTGTGTTCAATTTCTTACATGTTGAACTAATAGCAGTACCGGCTTCTTCTTGTTTATAGATATAAAGTAATGCTTGTGATTGTTTACTGAGTAAACAATTCTGAAAAGGACTGAATTCTTGAAACTTCAGTATCCAGTGCTTTGACTGTCTCCTTAGAATGCAGTCACTGTGAGCTTTTGTAGAGGGTGTACTTTACAAACTAATGACAAACATTAAGCTGCAAAATGACTTTATTTGACTTTTATTTAACTGAATGCAAGATAAAAGGCAAATTGCAGATGTCTCCAAGATTATTTTTGAACCTCGACTCTTAGTTAACACAAAGTTCCCTGTTCTGGGGAAGTATTGCCATGTATGTATATTTACTAGAGGACAAAGATGAGGTCTTGGCTCCACTCAGCCAGCAAAGAGATGGAGAGCTGTCTTCAAACAGCCAGATGTGAATTCCCTTAGTGAAGGGAGGTCTACAGAAGTTAGGCTGGTCTAGCATTTGATGTACCACCTGCCTCTGGCCTTCCCATTCAGCATAAGAAAACAAACAAAAAGTAAACTGTAGGTTTTAGTACTATTTCCTTGGGAGCTGTTACTGCTTACAGAAATAAAGGGAGCCTTAAGGCCAAACTGAGAAAATTCTTTATTACGAAATAGGATGGGTAATAGTTAAGTTAGTAAGTCTCCATATGCAAATCTGCACACAGACTAGCTTTCTAAATAAGTAAAGATAAGAGCAATCCTGTTTGTTTAACTTTCTACCATTCTGCCTAGGTCTTGAGAGTATTAACTGGTGGTCCTAGATAAAGCTTTAGCTTGTGTACCCCAAGCTTTCATTTAAAAGTTATAGTAGTATGTACAATGCTTCCTGGTGGTTCACTGGGAGCAGGCTAGCCTCATGTTGTTAATTGTTTCTCCTTCTTTCCAGCTGTTAAATCACTTCAAAAAGTGTTATAAAATATTTTCTGTTCTTACTGTCCCATATTACTCTTTTTGCACCAGGAGAAATCTCATTACCGTGTATGTTCTACATGGCTATGAATGGGAGGAGCGGTAAAAAAGACCAGCTCTGAAATAGTGCCAATTTTAATTTTTTCCTGATTTGTCATATAGTTTGAGTAAAAAAAGCAAACCCTCCAGCCTCTGTAGGAAAAAAAAAATATAAAAAGAATAGGTCCTTAGAGCCTGTAATGAAGTATCTCTGCTGACTATAGTGACTTAAACCAAGTGATGATTTCTTCCAAAATGAATGAGTGAGGTTAGAGAACTTTACAAACGTTATCCTCATTGCTTAAAAGCTGTAAATTAACTGATAGCAGTTATTTACAGCAGGATTGCATATCCTACAGTCTTAGAAAATGTAGTACTTCAGTGGAGGAAAGCAGTGCATTTTTTCTTGATAATTGTATAATTTTTCAATGGTTGTATACATCAGTCCTGATTACCCACATGGTGCACATAATAAAGCATTCAGATATATTATGTTAACAATCTAAAAAACAAAAAAGTCACTTCAAAGTAGAGATTTTTTTTTTTTTAATTGTACTGAATGGAAAACTTACAGTTGCTCTTCAGCTGAGTGTACTTTCTTGGGAGGCTTGTTGCTCTTAGCTATGCTCTGAAACATAATTACGTACCTTAGTAGAGAATTTTCTACTTTATTTTTGTTTGGCTGCTTGCGACTACCTCTTCTATGTAAATTGTTGCTTACATATGTCCCCATATTTAATCATATTTCCCTCTGTTATATGTAAGCAAAAAAACCCCCTTGAAATTTGCAGGCTGGCTCCAAAATGCTTCTATAAAATTGGAATGAAAGACATACTGAGGACATTACATTAATATTGAAACAAGAGGAAATAGAAAATAATTTAAACACTGCTTATGAGTGACAGAAGAACAATTCAATCATTGTTATTTAGCTGATAGGGAAGGGAAGAGTTAGGAAAATAGATTTTTTTTTTTTTTTTTCATTTCTCCTCTTTTGTTTGTGAGTGTGCTAAGCGGGCCACAGGAAATCTTTACAGTTAGACCAGAGGATTAAAATATGCAGGCACAATGAGATTTTTTTAAAACCTTGGGTTGGGGTTTTGATTCTTCTTGCTGCCATGCTGCTTATATGCTATTCCTATTCTGAAGCTCCACAGTGAAGCTCATTCATGCATGAATAGCATTATATATTCATTTATCCTCAAATATTTTTACTTCGTGATAATAAGAATCAATATTGATAACATTAACATTACTAGCTCATTTTGAAAGCTGAAGCCTGTTACTATAACATTGCTTCTCCCAAGTTTCCCTCTTCCTTACACTTCAATACTTTATTCAATATCTAAAGTGAACTGGATAGCTAAAAATTTTAAAGTCTTAGGAGGAAAAATGTTGACTAGTAGTAATAATAATAGCAACAGTATAGAAAGACAAGCTTATTATGAATTTTCACAGGTTTTAAAGTTGGAAGGAGTGGTTATGCTGAGTCTGTTCTTCTGCAGAACATTACCCATGCAGTACTGTAGGATAATAAGCTGTAGTTTAATTGTTCAGATGAGTAAATATTAGTACAGGTATAAGGAAATAAATACGTATTTTAGGTGGTGTGATTCAGACGAAAGAGAACAGAGTAGTGAAGGGAGTTTGGGCATTTGGAAGAAATAAGAAGGAAGAGGGAGAGAGAAAATACTGAGAGGTAAATTGAAAAGAGGCCATTATTTACAAGAGCACTTGTGTGCTTGGCAAGAACATGAAGATTTATTTAATGCTTGTAGTAGGTTGATGCTTGTCAGGAACATAGTGGTTGACAGTCAGGATCTCATTATGAGACATTGAACATTTAAATAATTGATTCTTATGTGTTTTTATGCATGATTTTTAACTTAGCAGTATGTTGAGAGGAAATAAAAAAATCTAGAAAAATATTATCCAGGAAACAAACAAAAGAGCCCCTTTCAGTAGAGAAAACAGCTGTTTAGCATGGAGGTTATATATAATAGCTTTATAGTATCGAGATCACCTGCCTTGAGGTTTCACTGAACACAGGGATGCTAGCAAAGCTGTAAGCTGTGCACTGTCCAGGATGCAGAACTAGTGACAGTTTAAGACCCATTACTGCATGAGGTGTTCTCTCTTTTCCTCATTCTCAAGCAGGTACATGCTACTCCCTGGAGAAGAAGGTGGGAATTCTCCAGTACTCTTGCTCATTTAGTCAGATTCTGTCTTGACTCTGTTTCGTAGAGGTGATTAAGAGTTATGGATATCAGGATGGTTTACTTTGCGAGATTGATAGCCTAACATATTTGTATGTAGTACTGATAGTTGAATTTCCAGCTTTGAGCATTTCAGACCTTTACCCAGGAGCAATGTAACCCAAACTGAAAATTCTGAGCTACTCACATGTAAGTCTTTTTGGAAGTGAATGCACACAGTCACGTTGTAGCACCTCTCTGGTTCTCAGGGTAGTTTTGGTCTAATTCTTCGTTCTGGAAATCAGAGACTATATGTATGTTATCAAGTAGTACAATGCAGTAGTTGGAATGTAAAGAGAAACAGTTGGCACAGAGAACCTGATGTTTATCTTGTATGTGTTTCAGGGATTTTACTGCAGATTATGTGTAGTCTGGTCCTACGGAATGCACAATAGCACTCCCCGGAATGCATTAAAAACCTTCTGGTTTAATTTTTTCCAAAAGGGATCCAGGTCATGCAGTCCAAAACATTTTGGAATTGTGCACCAAAGCACAGTAATGGGACACTTCGGAAGTGTGCTTCAAAAGCATGTATAGACACTAGAGGAGATGTGTTCTATGTACTACGTAAGAACTTTTCTAGTGAAGAAAGGTTATACCTGTGCAGAAATAGCTTGAAACTCCTCAGCATGATACTAATTCACTAAAACTTGTTCTGTGATTGTAGGCCATTTAAACAAAGACAAAACTAACATTTATGAAATAAATGTAGTGTGTTTGCCAATGTTAATTTCTGTCAGTTGGAAGAAGAAAAGACAGGAAATCACACTTGAAGTTTCTCTCTTCAGGCAACCGGTGCGTTGACTTCTCAAGACAAATGATTGTAAGGATGTTGGCTATTCCTTTTCTTACCCTTTCCTATACGTGCATTTTATTTTGAAATTTATTCTTGCATGTAAAGGACTTATTGAAAAAATAAATAAAAAGGTGTGCAAATCCAGGAGGCATTTTTGTATCAGCTAAACCTAGCAATGTGGAAAAAACCCCATAATCATAGTACTCTTTCGCGAGGGCTGTTCTTGTAAGTCTCTTGAAAAAAGATTCTGGTCTTTTGGCCAGAAAAATTGTCAAGTAGTTTAAAAGTAATAATATGACATCCAACATGGCAAATGTCATTGTAGAGATTAAATCTAGATATATTTTACCAGTGGGATTAAATGTCAAACCTGATTCTGTGGATCAGGGAAGGCTGCTGGAAAAATCATTGTAGAAAGTTGATTAAGGTCTGGCAGCTGCTAAACTGAATACAACCTGGGTGGCCACAGGTGTCAGCTCCAACTCTGGAGTAAACAGAGAAGGTAAGCCAAAATCCTTATTGTCAATGTAAGGAGAAGAGAGTACCAATCACCTAATATTAAAATGTCATCTGAGTACTGATTTGTTTCTATGAAAGTAAATGTGGTTTGTTTATGGTTTGGTCTTTTGGGATTTTTTTATCTTAAGAAGAAGAAATATAACAGCCTAAGAAAACATAAATGAGGAACTCATTGAAATCCTTGATGAATTTGATTTACAGACCATATCAGATTTGAGGAGATACATACAAATATGTGCAAACTTCCAG